AAGCAATCAAATTGAAGATTTACAGGTCAAGATTCAAGATTCATTATTCAAGCCAGAAATCAATGGATTAAGGTATGTTCCGTACTAATTCAATTTCTTGATGGTTTGACATGAAGATTTTGCCAAGTTCATAAAGTTTAAGTTTCAATAAAGTTCTAACAGCATGATGATGAAGGGCAAAGTGATGACTTCCATGAAGTAATTGAGGAGAGTGATTCATCTGAATATGAAGTTGGTGGTATATTACAAGTTTCTACTAATAGAGTCCGGGTTCAAACACAGGTTGAAGTGGCTACATTTGGGCGGAGTTAACAAAATTCTTGCTTGGAAGGTAAAGAATAATTTGCTGCAAGAAATAGATAAGAGGTCTAATGTGTAATGTTTAATATTTCCTTGATTCTAAACGTGGAAACGCAGAGCAGGGATCTGTTCAAAGTATGCAGATTGGCTTTGTTTATGCTGATGAGTCTGGCTTTTTTCCTCGTGATGATGGATCTGATAGCATGGGTGTGAAAGAGCAACAAGAAGAGGCAAAAGATGTGCCAAAATTAGTTCCTGTTAATGATTTTGGTTCAACACTAATGAATGACATTCAAAGTGATTCATCCTTGGATAAAGATCTAGTTGTAACATATGAACACATGGATTCAGGAGTTCTATTCTATGCGCCTCCTCATTTTCCAAGTTTAGATATTCCATTCTTCAGTTGTGATCTTATACAATCTGGTGCTGATATACAGCAATTGTATAGTCCACTTGGCATCCGCTAGCTGATGATATCTTCCATGACTCCATTCAAGTTGTGGGACTCACCATCCAGGGATAATAGTCCAGATGCTATTCTGAAAAGTGTTGCCAAAACTTTTATAGGGACGCCATCTATATTGAAGAATAGGCACCGTGATTTGGTGTCTCATTTGTCAGAAAAGAGAGATGAAAAAAAGATTGAAAGTGGTTTAAAGCATGAATCATTTTCCAATTTGATCAATGACTTTTCTCTATTGGGGGTTATGTTTGAAGAGTGTGTAGACTAGAAAGGGTCAATAATGGTATTATCACCAGAAGACGAAAGAAACTGTGAAGCCCCTTGTGTAAAAAAAGAAAATATAGACCCTACCTTTGGGGAAACCAGAGGGCAATGAAAGCATGGAAATTTCAGAAGGCAGAATGATAGAGAAACAGTTCAGCAGCAGTGAGGCATTGAAATAATTGTATTGTTTATCTTACTCCTT